AAGCTTAGAGGACTGAGAAAAATATCAAATAGCTCGTAGGGAGTCTAAGAGAATGAATTAAAACTATTAAACAAGTGGCAAAAATTGTACTTGAAAATAAAAAGAAAAAATTTCTATAAATAAAAATAGTTAATGGTGGAGTAATAACATGCAAGAAAAGATAAAATATAAAAAGACATTTATAAAAATTGATTCAAATGTAAAAGCTTAGAGGACTGAGAAAAATATCAAATAGCTCGTAGGGAGTCTAAGAGAATGAATTGTGACGCTAAAAACTCTGTTTTTAGTGATCTTTATAATAGATTAGATACTGAGGGTGAAAAATATAAGTATAAACTAGCCAAACAAATAGAAAAGAAAAGCAAAGATTTAACTCAGATTAGTGTATTAAAGATGAAAATCAAGGAGTGTTTTTTTAGAAAAAAGATATTCAAAATTGGTAGGTGAGTTAATTTGATAAACATTTTAATGAAGTTTGAAAAATACAATCGATCTTAGTGGTCCTAATATTGTTAATAATAATAAAATGTTTCATTTTTACCATCGCATTAGTAAAAAAAATTGAGAGGGCTTTAAAGAAAAGCAAAGGTGGAAAATCTGTAGGACCTAATGATATCCTAATTGAAGTGTGGAAATATTTAAGAGCTTTGTGCGTTTCTTGGCTTACTAAACTCTTTAATATTATTTTAAAAACTAAAAAGATACCTGAGGAGTAAAGAAAGAGTATGTTGGTACCCATTTTTAGGAATAAGGGACCAAATTTTTTCTATTTTTGTTGGTTTACATTAGGGATCGGCTTTAAGCCCATATATTTTTGCTTTAATTATGGATGGTCTTACTGGAAACTTACAAGAGGATGTATTTTGGTGTATGCTTTTTGCTGATGATATCCTTCCCGTGGATAAGACGAGAAAAAGCTCAGAAAAAACTTGAATTATGGAGGTGAACCTCAGAGTCTAAAGGCCTTCATTTGAGTAGAACTAAAACTGAATATATGACATGTAATTTTAGTAGTAGTAGCTCTAGTGACAAAAATGTAACTATGGGTGATCGAATTATAAAAAGGTGGGAACGTCTTAGATATCTCGGGTTTATTGTTCAAAGTGATGGTGATATTGATGGGGATGTTGTTAATAGAATTTCGGTTGGCTGGTTGAAGTGGAGTTATGCTTCGGGACTATTGTGTGATATATAACTACCACTTAGACAACCGCTTAGACTAAAAGGAAAATTTTTTAAGATGGTGGTGAGACCTGCAATGCTATATGGCACTGAATGTTGACCTTTAAAAAAGAAGCATAATACTAAGTTAAGTGTTGCCGAGATGAGAATGATTAGGTGGATGAATGGATTTATACTTAAAGACAAAATGCAAAATGAATATATTTGTGATTGGGTTGGTGTAGCTCTAGTGACGGGCAAAATTAGAGAGTCGTTTTAGATGGTTTGGTCACATTAAACATCGACCATCTATCTGATAATCCGATTAGAATTAATCCGATTAGAATAGTAGATGTTTTAGATTCAACTTATGTTAAGAGAGGCAGAGGTAGACCTAGGATGACTTGGGCATATTGTAAAAAAATGACTTTAAGTTATTAGAATTAAACAAAAATATGACACTAAATAGGATGCAATTGAGAAGAAGGCTTCAAGTAGCCAACCCAACTTAGTGGGCTAAAGGTTTGTTGTTGTTGTTGTATTCTCTTAATATTTTTAGCTAAATGAAGAGTAGATGTTTTAGATTCAACTTATGTTAAGAAAGACAGAGGTAGACTTAGGATGACTTGGGCACATTGTATAAAAATGATCTTAGTTTATTAGAATTAAATGAAAATATGACAGTAAATATGATGCAACGGAGAAAAAGGCTAAATGTAGCTGACCCCGCTTAGTGGGATAATGGTTTGGTTGTAGTTGTTGTTGTATTCCCTTAATATTTTTAGCTAAACGTTTCTTTAACTCTACAAGGAATAACATAAATCATTTAATATAGATCTTAACGTTCAAGTTTCATTAATGAAATTCAAAAGTTTTCAATTACATATATAAATTAATTTCTTAATATAACTCTTAAGTTTCAATAACTTTCAACAAAAAAATCTAACTTTAATTATATAAAATAACAATAAAATACCTTGAGACTTAATTTTTAAAATTTTTGTGGCATTCTCGTATTATATTTAGCTAAATATATATTTTTTAATATCTTAAAAAGAATAAAATAGATCATTTAATATAGATTTTAACATTCATATTTCATCAAGGAAATTCAAAAAGTTTTATTAAATATATAAATTTATTTTTCCAACTTTAATCTTAAGTTTTAATATCATTAATTTAAAAAATCTATTACTTAATTATCCAATAAATTACATTACTAAAATTTCAACTGAAGATCTGTTTGGGGCAGCTGCAACTGTTTAAAGAAACAGCTGTAAAGTTGCTACAGCAGTTGTTCGAAAAATTGTGCTGTCTATTACAATTTTTTTTATTTTCAAAAAATCAGATAAATGCAGCTTTCTGGCAGTAGGCGCACTTAGATCCTATTTAGGATAGCTTTAGGCGCCTAACCACTTTCGAAAGCAACTAACATGTTTGGAAGGGTAGTATTTCAACATATATTTGAAAGATTTGTTTACACGAGATTAATTTCTTATGTATTATATATCTAACAAAAAAACATATATTTCTACTTATATGAGATCTTAACATAAGTGCATAAGTGTTCTCTTTGATGTGATATTAAAGATTTGTGAACATAATATTTGTATGCTACGTATGTAAACACATAAATGCTGTGTGCTTTTGTTTGCAAATATTATAGCGTATCATTAGAATAGTTACTTATAACACAACTCTTATGCATTCACATATCTATTAATGCTCCTCATAGTTATTTCATTTATATATTTGGAACTAAGAATTTTTGTTTGTGTTGCCAAACTTTATTACAAGATAATTTTATTTTGTTATAGCTCACAAGATGGGAAAACAAAAAAGTGGTATATCAGCCTCATGGAAGAGGGAGGTCAATATCCTTTTATGTGATTTATGGTTAAAGGAGAAAGAATTAGGCTACATTCTCAAAAGTAAAATATTCATTATTTCAAAAATAATTGTAGCACAATAATTTCACAGCTGATCTATCCAACTAGAGTGCAGATGTTTCTCCTGGAAGCAGCTTCACAACAGCTTCTCCTAGCAGCACCTTCTTCAAGAAGCTGTAGCTGTCTGAAACAGACCCTTAGCCAGGTCAGGTTGCAAAAACCAACTTTTCCACTACAGCTTCACGAGAACACAAGAAAAATGCAGTTTTTCAAATACAACAATGATGCGGTTTAGACACCGCACCACCGCCGCCGCCCCAAATAGAGCCTTAGTTATTTTTATATAAATTATTATATAACTATCCTCATAAAATTCTCTTAATATTGTATTATTAAATATTTGTCAGTATTTCTTTACATTTAATACACAAAATTTTATAACATGTCTGTTTACTTAGATAAGACAATATCTAATGTATAACTAAACATGGTCATAACAAATTCCACTCATCATTTCCTGTTTGCAATCAAAACGAACCCCTCTAAAAATGGATTCATCCTCCTCCCCTGTGAGATCACACTCACGCTCGATTTTTTGTCGATGTTAACACCCTTGTACAGGCCTACTCAAGAGCACAATGTGCTTGACATTCAAACTTACAAGAGATTGAACATGTTGCATCTGTTCTCATACTTATTACTACATATGTTTTCAATCTCTCGAACTCAATTTGCCTACCTATGCACTTCTCTCGGTTTGTACTACCAGACTTTGTTTTCTACTACTTTCATCGGATCTTCATTAGTTAGTTGCACATGCCCCTTTCACTCTCCCTCTCCTTTCATCTTCCTCTTTGCCTTGTCTCACTTGATAGCAACAAATCTACTAATGGCAGTTCAATTGAACCAATATTTTTCAGTTGAAATCTATTTTTAGGGTGTTATAATACGATATCATTTAAAAGGAATTGATTGAAGCTATCGCCATAGAAAAAACAAATAGCTACAGCTTCTATGAAAATACTGATTTGTAACAGACAAAAGAGTAAACTTGGTTACTTAAAAGAAATTTGACACCCAACATCCAAAATTAGAGTTTCTAGAACAAGATCAATAACACAGAAAAAAGATAAGGCTCATTCCAAGTGTTTACATATAGTAAAATATGGAGCAACTTTGATGCTAGAATGGGGACAGGATCATTCTCCGCCATTTTTTGTCGATTCTTTCATGATATTTTTAATTGTATCTCCCTCCCTATAGTATTGTATGTCTTATTTCATGACCACATAGTCTTAATCATATGGATCCTTATTGTATTTCCAAACATGAGAAAAACAGAAATAAAAAGTATCACAACACGAATTACAAACATAATAAATAATAACATATTATAATAATCGAAATCCTAGAAAATCATTGATCATTCACTGAAACCAAATGGAAAATAAACAAAATGTAAAGACATGCTTTCCTTACTTTTTAAATCATCCCTAATTCTAGATATGACTGAAATAACAAAGCTCTACTTTACTCACATAATAGTAAATGATTAAGGTAACAGAAAAGAAAAAATGTATTCAGATGTCATATATAATGCAATATGCCAACGAAGTTCAACTAAATATAGGACTAGAACATCTTATTTGCAGTTTATCCATAACATAAGAAATTAAGGACAAGCATAGGGAGAGATCCGTTTTCTTCAATCCCACATCGAGGGCAATGCCATACCATTATCGTTCACAGAGCAAGAGAAAGATGGGCATATAAAAAGAGATAAAAGATAGTCTTTTTAAGTTTTCTTTAAGTTTTCAAATAAAATCAATTTTAAATCCCAGAGTAAAATTAAAAGGAAAAAAATTTCACAAACGATAAAAGCAAAGCTCAAACTAGTGCAGTATCAGATTAGTAAATGAAATGGAAAAGTTGATTTCAAGTGCAACATACCTGAAAAAGCATTATAGAGTGCTATTCATATGCCTCAAAGAAGTTCTCAGCTTCAGGACAGAGTTGAAAATAAATTAAGTAGCTGACTGCTCATCATAGTAGAATCTCAATCACTTTAGTTCGCCTTCCAACAATTACATCACTAAGTCATAAAATCAACAGAATAAACCACTTAATGATGAGGACGCTCAAATATTTTAATTTGATCAGTCAAATTCCTTTACAGATATGAAATTCAGTAACTCAAGGTCCAATGAGGCATTTCACTATTGCTTCGTTACAAAGCTCAAGGGTCAGCCCAATATTCTCTCCATGTTAGTTCAAATATCGGAAAATATTATATAAGTTCTTATTGAAAACATAAACCTCTTCTTTCCGTATAGTCCTTTAGTGAGGGTGTCGCATGAGATAGGCCTCATTCTAAAACGTCTCCTGATCTTATTCGCTACTCCTTTACTCATATCAAATTTCAGCAACTCAATATCCAATGCAGCATTGCTCCATTGCTTCATCACAAAGTTTAAGCGTCAGCTCAATATTTCCTTCATTGTAGTTTAAATCTATGAAAAGACTATATATATTCTTATTGGCAACATGACCAGCATCTTTCATCTCTTGAAACAATTGTTTTGCCTCCATAAATCTCTTCTTCTTGAACAGCCCTTCAATGAGAGCATTGTATGAGATAGTACTCATTCTAAAACCTTTCCCAATCATTTCCACATGAAAAAAGCATGCCTCCTTCATGTTTCTCGCCTTACAATGTCCCGTGATTAGAATATTATACGTGTTCTCATCTGGTAAGACGCCCTTTGCAAGCATCCCCCTATATAACTCAGTCACAGCTTTCATGTTCTTCTCCATGCTGTAATTCTTTAACAAAGAATTATAAGTAGCAGCATTTGGTATTATCTTCTTTCCTAACATCCATTCAAGAAGCTTTTGCCCATCTTCAGGCTTTCCCGCAGCACAAAATCCATTCATTAAGACATTAAAAGTGACAATGCTTGGCTGGATGCTTTTATCTAACATCTTCCTAAGCAGACCATGTGCTCGAGTTAACTCACCAAGCTTGCAATAAGCATCCATCAAAGTAGTATAAGTGTATGTATCAGGACTAAGTCCTGCTACTTCCATATCCTCTAGGGTCTTCATAGCCTGTTCAATATTCCCTGATTTGCAAAGCCCATTGATTAGTGAGTTATATGTACACACATTTAACTGCAACCCTTTAACACAAAGCTCATGCAAAAGCTCATTTGCAGCCTCCACCTCACCCTTTTTACAGAGGCCATCAGAAAGAGCAGTGTATGTCACAACGTTTGGAATCAAGCCAGCCTGCAACATCTCATTGTGCAGCCTAAAGGCCTCTAGAATCCTGCCATTTTTAGCAAAGCCATCAATCAACACCGTATAAGTGACTTTATCAGCACTTAATCCCTTTCTAAGCATTTCCTGGAAGAGCATGTCAGCATCAATAATCCTGCCAGATCTACAAAGGCTACAAATCAAAGTAGTATATGTCTGAGCATCAGGAACTAACCCTTTACCCTTCATCTCCTTAACCAGGCGATACACAGCAGAAAGGTTACCATTTTTAGAGAATCCATTGATCAAAGTAGTGTAGACAGCTGAATCTGGAATCACACCTTCATTCTCCATCATAAGTAGTAACCATTCTGCCTCCCCAGCCATCCCATTCTTGCATTGAAGAGACATAATGCTATTAAAAGTAAACTGATTTGGCTTCAAACCTCGGGAACACATTTCGTTAAACAAATCATAGGCACTCTGAAGCTCCCCAGCACGACAATACCCATTGATAATGGTGCTATAGCTGATGACATCTGGCAGAACACCGTCCTCAGAGTTCATTTTAAGAAGGATGTCGTAGGCCTCCCCAAGCTTCCCCACCCCGCATAACCCACATATCACAATATTATAAGAAGCGGAATTCCAGCGCACTCCAAAGAGCGGAAATTCCAGGAAAACATTCAGGGCAGCATCAATCGGAAGATGGGAGAGGAGCGCATTGCATGACTCCACTGAAACAACGACCCCAAAAGAAGTAAGGCGGAGAAATAGTGAATGGGCCTCTTCTAATCTTTCGAGCTCGACAGCGGCTCGAAAGAGGAGATCAAAGACGGTGGGATTCGAGGACCAGTGGCGGTATGTGTAGATAACCTGCTCGACAAAATTCCTGTGACAAACGACGCCCCGCCGCAGAAACTGCCGAGCGGCGCCTACAATCCCAGAAGCATGAGCGAGGTGTGCGGCGATGGCTTGGGCCTCGGCAGGGACGGAGAAGCGGGTGTTGCGGCGGAACCAGTGCACGAAGGAAAGGGCGAGAGCCGGGTTGGAGCGGAGTTGGAGGAGGGACCAAACAAGGTGGTCCGGGCGGAGTCGCGCGGCGAAGGGGGTGAGAGTGTGGCCGAGGGAGTGGGGACGTCGCTGCCTCAGTGCAGTGGTTAGATTGTGTACTAGTTCAGCGTCGCGGATGCCGGGCTTCTTAGGAGTGTACTCAGGGAAGGGGCGAAGGTTGGTGTTCAGGGTGTCAATGGGCGTAGAGCGGGAAGAGGAGAACGGCCGGCGAATTGAAGGGAAGACAGTGCGGCGATGGAAAGACGATAGGTCAGCGAGGCGCGGCTTCTTGAGGACGGCCGAGGGCATCAAGGTGTGCCTCGCAAAACTGAAACGGCCCTTCAGGTTCTTCTTTTCACCTTCGTGCGCTCTCCTCGACGTATCATACCATGATGATGCAAAATAATTTGTTTCATGAGCAACTTCATTATTAAACTCAACTCAAATAATTTGTTATTCAAAATAATTCATGACATACAATGTATACTTGAAAGTTTTTAATATTTTCATAAAAGAATTAAAAGAATTGTAAAGCTTCAGGCGCTGCAAGTGCACCTAGGATGCACGTGACAGTGTGACCATTAGAGGTGGCGGTTGCACACCAAACATCCAAATTGTTCTTGATCCAATCGGCTCTCCTACAAATTTATGGTCTGCAAATGCATATTTGATATTCTACATCTAATTTTCGCATTATCACAGTCCAATGAAACATATGAAAAAAGAAATAAAAGCAACTTTAGTTAATTTTGCTCTAATTAAAAGACGTTTTAAGATGGCTTAAATTATAATTGAGGAGAGTTTACTTGGTTCATAAACACAAGAATTGATCTACATTTAGGTCCATTAATAGATTACTCGTAACTTGTCTTGAAATATTAATGCTACATTGCAATTTTTTTTTCCATAGGTTCAATTCTTTGATGACAAACTTTGACTTCAAAAAATAGAGAGAAAATAATATATCACCAAAATTCATGCAATTAAGCGTAAATCATGTTGCTAACTTTGGATTGAAATTTTTTAAAATTAAATTAAAGATCATTTTACTTTTGATTCTAGTAAATTTATAGTCAATTTGAATACCATGATTAAAAAAAAATTCAAATTCCATCGAAGTGATTTGTTCCTTTTTATGAGATCAAATGAAACAATGAGGTTGAGTTAAAAATTTTGCAACATTAATTAAATTGTCAAATGATCTCCATTCGTACATGATTTGAATCTAATAAGGTGCTTAATGAAAGGAATTCAATAAACTTGAGTTCATTTAAATTTGGACTAATGAGTGAGTTTAAATATTTCATGGTCAAAGATTAAGAAATTATTTCAATGAAATATTTTGAGAATTTGTCTATGATAACAAAAATGGCACTTTTAATAACAATAAATAGATACCAGTTTTTAGATAAGAAAGGAGAGAGACAAAATATTGAGTAAAAATTGGTAGTTTTAAAGTTTTCAGCTATGCCTTATAATTAATAGTTATGACCACCATAGTTACCCAATCATTATCATCAGACCATCATCTCATAAATATTAATGCTTGACTTCTATCTTTTGACAATCATTGTCTGTAAATTATCTCATAATTATCTCCCCTTGACCGGCTCTCACCTGACTTTATCATTTTATTGCTTCTACTTGAATTTCATCTTTATCAGTACTGATCAGTCATCATCGCCAAAATATCATCATTGTATTATAATCTTTCAGATATTATTGGTCGATCACAAGTTCTTGACCACTTTTTATTGATATCCATCACTTGATCGTCATCTGCTATCCATCAAGTCAAACTATCATCCCTCGACCAACATCTCCTAATAATATTTTTTTGAGTATTATAACTTGGATGTCATCTCTTGATTGTTATTGCTTATTTGTTATGTCTTGATAGCAATTGCCTATTTATCACTTTCCAAAAATCAAGCCTAGATCGTCATTTCCCAACTTTTGTTATCTAAGTACTATTTCCACAACTATTGTTACCTAATCATGGCTAGTCAACCATTGCTACTAGATTGCCATCACCACTCTCCATTACTCATTTTGTAATCTCTATTATAATCAGATATAACCATATATGTACTCTTATCTTCTCATATAATGGAAGGAAATGATTTTATTTAATCTTTATGATATATTATTTAAATTAGTGTAAACGGCATGATTTCATATATTATTTTTACAAAAATCTCTCCTTTTCCTTATATTTCGTTGTGTATATGTGAAATCTTTGTATGAAGTTATGATATAAATCATTCATTCTATCTTTGATTGTGTGTGTGTGTGTGTGGAAAGAATTGTCCAATACAAATTCTACAACAAGCAACATTTAAATATTTGAAATAGTAAACTCCTGACTTTTAAACCATGATTTTTTTAAGTTTATTATATATTTTTCAATCATTATGAAATTAACAATAGACTTCCTACAACTTTTGATATGGTAGATATTATCATTATAGTTATATTATTGGAGACATATACTAAAGAATTAGTTATATACATAAAAATAATTTTAACTTAATCTAATGCAGTTCAAATTGAATACATCACTTCACAACCCTTACCATTACTTTATGTCAATAAATCATTTGAATGTCTTAAGGGCATTTGATAAACCTAAAATATATAGTATTTATGTACACATTTTTATATCTATTTTTGAGATATTGTGTTTTAATGGAATGTATTTGTGTATTTTTTCTTTCATGTATAATAAAAAAGACAAAAAAATGGTGAAGGGAGTGAAAAAGGATCAAATTTGGAATAAAAATGATGAAAAACTGCAAAAGGGTTGTGGCGCCTACGTGTTCATAGCTGGTACTTCAACGTCAGCAATACAAAGAAGGTCGCACCTAAGTGCCAAGGACCTCATGCTTAAGCGTCAGTGATAGTTATTTGACGGTTTTATGAATTTTGACATATTTTGAAGTGGTTTTTTAGGCACCTTTTGGCAAAAAATGGTGGTTATAACCACTAGAAACGAAAATATATTAAAAGAACTTTTGAAAAGAGACATCTCTTGGAGAAATTTATTGAATATGGACATGTTTTGAAGAGATACCAAGGCACCTCTTGGAGAACTATAAAAAGAGTGAGTTAGAGTGGATGAATGGCACTTCTAGTCTTTTCATTGTGGCTCAAGGTATACTCTTCTCTGCATTTTAGGAGAGACTTTTAGTCGTTGTTTGCATTTACATTTTACTTTTCTTTTTAGTTTTTATTTTGAGAGTTAAGAGCATTATAAAAGAAGAAGAGATTCAAAGGAACTTCAAGAGTTTAGTGTAGGATTTGAGATAAGTTTCTATCTTCTGTTACCATATTTAGTTTTAATTTAGACTTCTTGTTGGTTTGACAATGATTTCTACTTTTTAAACTAGATTGAGGTTGTGTTTTCTCCATGCATTTTAAGTAGTTTTTTTTATCTTTTTCCTTAAATGATAAGTAATTAAAGTTTTGGATGGATGTTGTGGAAAGTGTTGATCTTTAATGTCGGACTGAGTTGTGATGATTTAAATCCATGTACTTCATTTACTTCTTACTTCTTGATTTAGACTTCTTGATTTAGCCCCTTTAGTTGTTAAAATTTATTGTGAGAACATGTAAGATCTGTGATGATATTGTCACAATAAACAATTGGTAAGAATCACATCAGATTGTATGGAAGAGATTGCAATTCATATGATTGAGTGCAAATAAATTAAGAAATAAACTTTAAAGGGTGTAGAGTTAGAGGACTTTAGAGTGACAGACTAAAGCCCCCAACTTAGTTTCTTATTTTAGGTTTTGATATGAGATGTTAGCCCCCAAGTGGAGGAAGAAGATGGAACTCTAGAATGAGAGGAACACCCAAATATTTGAGGGGGAGGGAAGTTTTAGTGAATCTAGTGAAGGAAGTGATCCAGTTCTTTATGCTTGTGGTGGTCTTGTTGCTAAATAGAATGGTGCATTTAGCAGGATTGAAATTCATTCCACAATGTTTTTGAAACCTCTGGATGCAATTATAAACCTTCTTCATAGCAGTTTTATTGGCATTAGAGAAGACCATAATGTCATCCATATATGCCAAGTGAGATATGACCAAATTCGATTTATGGTGATGCCTAGAGTATGAGCTAGTATTTATCTCTTAATCCAACATTCTAGAGAAATAGCCCTTAGCTAAAATGAAAGTAGTAGGAGAAAGGGGGTCCCTTTTTTGCCTTCCTCTAGAAGAAGTGAAGTTGCCCCAAGCTTGCCCATTGATTAGGATTGAATAAATATTATTCCTTAGCCACCTGGATATCATTTCATAGAACTCCATAGAGAAACCCCTGATAGCAAGCACCTCTAGAATGAAGTCCCAGGAAATGGTGTCATAAGCTTTTCTAATGTCCAATTTGTCTATGAGATTTCCACCTCTACAGGTTTTGTCCAAGTCCAATAAAAGTTACTGTGCCAGTAGAACACTATCTGCTATGGATATTCCTTTGATAAAAGCAGTTTGGTTTTGGTTAATAATCTTATCAAGGTGTGGTTGAAGTCTAGCCACCAGTACCTTGCTAATGATTTTTTGGATTACAAAAATAAGGCTAATGGGTCTAAACAATTCCAATTTCTACTATCAGCTTGTTTAGGGATCAAAATCATGCAGGAAGCAGTAAAATACTGTGGAAGGTCAGCACTTTGAAAGAAACTTTGTATGGCCTTGATCAAATCTATTTTAATGATTCTCTAAGCTTTTTTATAGAAGTCTGCAGTAAAACCTTTAGAGCCAGCAGTTTTAGAGCTGTCAATATATTGAATTGCATCCCAAATTTCTTGCTCAGTCGGTGTATCATTCAAGGAGAGGCTGTTGGTCAAATGATGCTCATTACTGAACAAATTAGGGTCAATTTGTGGTCTATCTACTGAATTTTGTGACAGGAATATGGTGAAAAATTTAACAACAATTGCAGCAATAGCCTAGTTATCATGAATCCACTGACCAATTGAGTTATGTATGTCATGGATGGTGTTACGTTTCCTTTTGCATTTAATATAAGCATGGAAGAACTTAGTGTTCCTATCACCATCTTTAAACTTATTAATAAATAGCAGTTTTTTGACTAAGGAAGCTCTCTTGCCAATCAATAGCAGTTAGAAGTCTTTCTTGTGCCTCAATTAAAGAAGTTTCAAGCTCCTCATTTTCTAAAAAGTCCACCTTAAGGTTCTTCACTTCTTTTTCAGTGGTTGTCATAGCAAGGTGAACATCCCCAAAGGTCTGCCAACCCCAAGTTTTGAGAGCTTAGCTAACCTTAATATGGAGAAACCAAAGTTTGACCAAAGGGTCCTCCTGGATCACCCCACACCAGTGAGCAGCCACACATTCCAGAAAAGATGGATGAGAAGACCACATGTTGATATATCTGAAATGGGGGGTTGCATGGGGTA